TTGTTTTTACTTGTTTAGTTGTTGTATCTCATCCGTATACTTCTTTAATTGTCTTCGTATCCTTATTATACCATGATGCATCTGTAAGTACAATCATGTTCTAAACATGTGTAACGGAAATAAAAAGATCTACTTTATGCTAAAACTACACATGATAATTAATAGAATATCTATGAAAGTAAATAAAGTTTACCCGGTTGAAGTTTGAAATTTTAAAATTTCTTTCAAAACTATGAAGATTCCACGTGTATCTACACTAAGACTAATCTTTACTTGTCAAACTCTTGACCGAACAATTTTTTAGCAGAGAATAATAAGAGAGAAAATAACTAATTTTCTTATATCTTTTTTGTGTGTTCATCTTCTACAGTGGAGCTGTATATTTATAAATATGTAAACATATCTATTCTCTCAGCAATAGTATTCATATCCTATCTTCTAAAAAATAGGAATAATCAAATATCCAAACAAGAATTAGTTTTTATCTTTTCTTATCAAAATCACTTTTGACTAGGTCAAAATTCAAATTAAATCTTTCAATTTGAAATTGAAAAAAAAAAACTGACGTGTTTTTCTATCTTAATAGAAACAAATATTATTTATATTTTGATGCTAGTCAAAAATAAATAAATAATATTTTATTTATAAGAAAAATAATTATTTGATATAATCAAATTATTTAATTTAATTATCAAATAATAAATTTTCTTGAGCAAAGATTAGAACACTCGATAGTGTGTGACCCTATAGGTTCAAAACTAAACCGATAGTAAATTAACTACATTACTTTACTAATTAAGGTTGGCGTCTAACAACAATCCTTAACATCCGGATAGTATGAAAAAATATTTCCAAAAAACTTTAGAAGATTAATATAAAATTTCCTTTCATCATTTTACAGCTCTAAATTAACTTTAAAATATGGTTTAATTGTCAAATTCTAATAAGTTAACATATAATGAAAAATACAAGAAAAACCTTTTTTTTCTTTATTATTTCAATTGTCTTGACCAAGATCCTTATTTTCATTATAAAGCTCAAACTCATTACCAAGAGTCGATGGATCCCTTCTTGATTAATCATTTAATTCTACAAGAATTTAATTACACCCAATAATCATTCAACTAACACCTTTAGGTATTAGGTGTCCGAAATCAAAGTATAATAAATATCTTGTTAATTATTATGATAATCTCAAGTCTAAGGAAATTATATATTTCTTCTTAAGAATTTCCTATTGACAAAATTTTAAGGTAATACATAACCATTAGGAATTCTCCTTTATAGAGTCTGTTCAATAGTTATATCCCTATATGCACTATTTATATGAGTAATTTAATAAATGAGATATATTAATCTTTATCCAATAAAGACTATTACACATATATTGATCATTAATGATGTCCTATCCTCAATAATTCTACGATCAAGAATAATTTAGATTAAAATTAAAAAATACTTGTTTTTCTCATTATTATAATCTCTATTATAAAAAAAGAAATCTTTAATTTTAATCAAGGACTTTATCATATTAATTATTTCTCATAATCAATAAATATAAAATTAAAGTACAATCTTATTAATGCATATAAGATAGATTGGATCTTACGCATACATCTTATTCCCAACATCTATTTTATTGTGACAGAGCAAATCAAAAGTAGAGAAGAATCAAGCAACCCTCTTTCCAGTTGAGGTTCTCCCTCTCTTAAAACAATCATATATTTAATAATCAATAGATTAATGATCATGAAAAACATCACGAACAAGCCAATTTCTAATCAGAACATCTAAAACAAATAACAGTCGTAATTTCAAAAAGAAAATAATACTGCAAAAACAAATAACAGTCGTAATTTCAAAAAGAAAATAATACTGCAATATCAAATCAAAACGTTAATAAACAAATAATAATATTCGTATTCCCTTACCTCAAATTCGTAATCTTTGAAAAATTTGTTCCATTGAAAACCTCTGAACAAAAAAAATCATAATGAAATATTATACAAAAAAAAATAGGGAATCAAAATGAATATGAATTGAAAATACACCTTAAAATAGAAGCAATCGATCAAGAACAACATAGAGAAGATAAAACTCTTACAAAATCACTAACCCCAAATTGGACACTGTTGTGCCCAAAGTGTGTAGGTATCCTCCAAAGTCCCACATTGGGTATTTTTGAAGAAGGGAGGAATGTTGTGCCCAAAGTGTGTGGGTATCCTCCAAAGTCCCACATTGGGTAGTTTGAAGAAGGGAAGTGGTAGACTACTACTATAAATAAGGAGTGATAGTTTGGGTCTACTCACCACAACAACATTGGTTCCAATGGGTGTATTGGGGACTTGGGTAGTTGTGTGTCATGAGAGGGTTTCCAAGTTTCGCTAGAAAACTTGTGTATGAAGGTTTCCAAGTTTTTCTAGAAAACTTGTGAATGAGAGGGTTTGCAATTTTGTCCTTGTAAAAATTGTAAGTGGAGAAATAAAATGAGTTGTTTGTGGATGTAGGCAAGAAGTGCCGAACCACATTAATTTCTGAGTTTGTTTCTCTATTTTGTTTCTCTGGTGTGTGTGCTTCCGCTGTTTGAAGGCTTCTTTTCCCAACAGACACTTAGCAAAATAGTTTCATCGCAGATTGGATCACCAACGATTGTGTTGAGTGTGAAGTGAAGCAGAAAGTTTAATGAAAGAAGAAGTTTGAGTGTGAAGTGTAGTAGAACATACGTGAAGTGAAGTAGAGCATGCCCTAGTTATGACCTTTAACTCTTTATTTTTATTATTTTAATAAGAATAAAAATATATTTTAATTAAGTTATCCACCTGATGACACAAAGAGTTGAAAAATGGATAAATAGATATTTAAACATTGTGGTGCTTTAAAATCACAAAAAATTTAATTATTTTGTGAGGGTTAAAATAACTCCTAAAATTATAACATTTTGTGGCAGCTTATTAAAATTGCTAGAAAAAAACTGCCACTAATTAACTACTTTTTTGTAATGCTAATCCATCAAAACAAAGACTAATCTCGCTTGTAATATTATGATTCTTATTAATTCTACAAAAAAATTTACATAAAGAATAATCAAACACAAATCTCTCACTATATAAATCATTTTCGTAATATATAATTACATAATACCTTACTACTATGTTGACACATTGGGATAGGTCCTTTTTATTTTGTTTGCGTAGGATTGAAGTAAAAAAAATTGGAGAGAAAAAACAACATTTTATACACTAACTACATAAATAAATTTATATAGGTATCCAAATAGAAACGGTCTTGTATAATAATTTTTAATTTTTTTTTACTAAAAGATCATATATATTAAGTTTGTTCACTAGCTAAAATGTAACACTTTACACCGTCAACGCATAAAATACTAAAATAAAATAAAAGGGATAATGAAATTAAATAAAACTATTAGATTTCTATCATTTGAAACAGAAATGGGAAGGCAGGAGACGAATTATTTTCATGAGACTCGCTAAAAAAATAATTTTATTGCCAAATTGACATGAAATGAAAATTAAATTATCTCTCATTTCATTTTTTTGGTTTTATTTTGTAAAAATAATTATTGTTTAAAAAACAAAAAACTAATTTATGTTAAGAAAAAAGTTGACTTTTTTCAATAAATTAAAAATGATTTCACATAATTTATTTATTTATGAATTTTTTTTACTCATTCAAACAAGTAAAAAAAACTATATCACCATCACCTCCACTATGATAGTATTATCAATAATGGTGATAATGGAAATAATTGTAAAAAAAATATGGTGATGACAATATATAATAATTTTAATTTATAATTTTTAATTATAACCTAAGTATTGTTATTAATAAAACTCTTGTTAACAAATGTCATCACTTAAATCATCTCTCTATATATTACTACCATTAATTTCATAAATATATACTTAAATCGAGTAACATCTAAATAGTTTACACAACTTTTATATACCATACATCACTGTCATGAATTTAATAATATGTCATTATACTGCTAACAAAATTTATGTTCATTGCTTGTGGTGGTTGTTTATCTTCCGATAAAAGTGATATTTCATAATGATTTGATTAAAATAAGATGATTAACTATTATTTATTTTATCATTTTCATCGACTATTGTAACTTTAAATATTTGTTAAACATCTACGAAATTCTTTCAAGTTTTATAAATCTATAACATAAAATTCTTTCAAATTTTGTAAATTCCTTTTAAATTTTATATATTTTTACGATATAATTTTTTATCACAAAATATTAACTATAAAGTTTTTTTCTTCTTCTTACAAATGAGTACAGTTTATATTTTCTTTAAAAATAAAATCTGAATTCAGTCTCTTGCTACATTTTCTTCTCACTTAATGATTGGATACAGAATATTGAGAACAGGACAATCGCAGGTTAGCCGCCACAAAGCTAACCGCGTCTTGTTGACAGGCTTTACGTATGATAGTAAATAATTGATTTCGTGTTTACCCTAATATGTACACTAATTACAGCATAATATTAATTTCTCCTTTGTATAATATTTCATGTATAAAAATGGATCCTGTTTGATCGAATACCTATTGCAGAATGTGAAATAACGTAAAACTTACCAAAGTATGCATAAAATTGTGACTTTTGACAGCCGATATATCCTAAATAGAAGTCATTAAATCCCATAGGAAATTAGCTGCTGAGTGCTGATGATGATGGCAACTACGGTTTAACTGGGTCCACCAACAAAACAAGCAAACCTTGAATAAAAGTGATAAAAAGTCAAAGTTCTGACCATACAGATGTAATTAGACCAAGCTTTGAAACTGAAGCCACCCCGTGTCACAAACACGGTAGTATATTTGTACACGAAATTTTCAAAATTATAGGTGTGATTATCTCAATTAATCATTATTATATATAACATGTATCTATATTTTTCAATTTATGAGAAGAAATTAATAATATTTTATATATTATATAAAGATTAATTAAAAATATCGCCTAATAGTTTCTTCCTATTAAAATTCAAAATATATATCCAGTTTGCTATAAATATGTACCCCACCCAGCGTTAATATTATATTTGTAAATTGTAAGGAACATGAGCATGAAGGAGAGAAAGTCTGTATTGGAGCGTCTGAGAATGGCGGTGCAGAAGGTGAAGCTTCTTCTGGGCGCCACCGTGCTCAGCCACGCGTGGCATGCGGCAAGCCTTCTCCGGCGTGGTTCTCAGATCAAACGGCAGGTTAGTTTGGACGATCGAGCCGGGTTGATGATTTGTGCTTCGGAGGAAACGGATTCAGAGGGCTTGGTTCATGTTTCTTCTCCGAGTAGTGCGCGAAGCCTTCAGAGGACCATAAGCTATCCTTCTTCGGATGATGACATCGACAAAAGAGCAGAGATGTTTATAGCAAACTTCAGACGGCAGCTTCACATGGAGAGGCAAATCTCCCTGCAGCTGCGTTATTGCAGGGAAAATACTCTTCAATTGCCCTCTCCTTGATTGCTTCTTCTAATGGAGGACTTTCTGTTTTTTCAGGGAAGGATCTTCATCTTGTACAAACTACACAAATTGTCATTTTCAACTTCTTTTTTCTTCTTTTTTTTCATTTGTAAAGTTTTGGATTGTTTTAATCTTTTTTGATGCATGATTTGCAGCACATATGATTTTTTTTGGGATTGTTGTAATAAGAAGAGTCTGGGACACATGATGTTTTTGTTAGTTCTTCATCCTTCGCTCTCGTCTATTTGTTTTTTTCTTTCTCATTGTCCCTATATAATAAATTATTATACGAAGAAAACAAACCAATTTAATGAAATTATTGTCAGGTTGCTTTCATTTTTTGTTTCAACCACAATAATTCATGATAGATTTTTGTTATTTTTTTGGAAATAAAATTAAAAATCAAATTTAATGGATTGTACATGCTTTCCAAAACAATTTTGAAAAAATTAACTTACAATAAGTGAAAGTTTTGCAGTTAGATAGTAAATCAGATAACATAATTTTATTAAAACTAAATTTATTCAACTATTTACTCAAAAAATAATAATAATATTAAAATATTTATTTATTTTATAGATACATCACAGATGTCTTATATCAATGGTTGCTCTTTCTAAAAATATGAACAAACTGAGACTGAGATATACGATGTGGGTCACGGCTATATATAGACCAGTCACATGTTTCGGTTTACCAACTTGGAAAGAATATTAGTTCAATATGTTATAAATAGTAGTTTATAAATTACCTTATGGAAAAAAATAATATTAATTAAGTGCATACCAAAAGCAAAACAAAAAAATATTATTCAATTCCTAAGAGGATAATAATTATTTCATATATAAAAGAAAATAACGCAAACGTTTATTTTAAAATATTAATATTAATCTAAACAAGTATCTTATTTTTTTTTAAACCAAGTATCATAATTATATTTAATGATTCAAAGTTGGTATTGTTAAAATTATCATTTTATTCAACTTTAAAACAACCGGACCGTAAATATATTTTGGTTTTCAAATTTATACAATTTACCCATACTTATTTTATTTGGCCTCTTTTAATACATTTAGTTTAACTTGTTTTTTGAAAACACAAACACTTGTTTCTTTCAATATTTAATAAAGTTTACAGAAATAAGTTGATATTTCTCTAAATTTATATAAGCTCAACTAAACACACACGTTATTGATGATATTAGTGCTTGCTGCTAATTAGGTGTAGATTTATTAGAACTCTTGGACTTTTAATGGTTAGGTTGGGCTTGATGGGCTTTCCAGAAACAACTCCCATTTGTTTTTTTTTTTAAAGAACTATTTAAAAAAAAAACAATTTTTTTTATATATAAATACTTGTTTAAATAGACAAACCAACAACATGCATGCAGTATGGGTGTTGAGATTAGTCTCTCTGAACCTATTGTTGAGAGTTGAGATTGCAAACTACAATATAATTTTCTTTTATATTATTATAAATTTTAATGTATTTTTGGTTATTTTATATTAGTATTGTTAGAATGTTATATATATAATACTGTACGTTTCTTTTAAAAAATATATAAAAAATTACAAATATATATTCAAATAATTTTGAATTTACATTTTTATCATTTTTATTTAGATATTTTAAAAGAAATATTTTTGTATAAATATATTTTCATTTGCATATATAACTGAAATATATACATAATTTATAAGATTTTTTAATTATATTTTATAATTATTATTCATTATACATTCCCGTCATAAAGAAATAAAATATTTACATTAACTATAAACAAAAGAGATGAGTATTTGGACTTACGGATTACAATTAAAAAAATATTAATACAAAGATAAGACAATACTTATATAGTTATAGTTTTAGTCTTATTTTATTTTGGTTAATAATTAAGAGACCCGTAAGTTTTTCCCTAATAATTTTAAGTTAATTTATTTTACTTTTAATTCTACTTCATGTAGTATTTTACCTTTGTGTATAGAAAATAATTAAGTTTTTTTAAATATGATAGTTATGATTCAAATTAGATAAAGTGAAATTTGATAGAGACAAAATCTATATTATTATTAGACGCAACCAACAACGGAATGATGCATGGTCAAAAATTATAAACGTAAAAAAAAAATAAAGTTTCTTCTATATGTGTAATTTTAGTAGGTATATGTGTCTCGATAAATATATTTTAGATATATATATTCTTCTTACTAATATTTGCATGTGTTGATCCAAACTAACTAATTTTTCCATCTTCTTTATTTTAGCGTTGAGAGTATCTGAAAAAAAAAACTAAACAAATAAATAAATAAAACTCTAATGCTCAAATAAGCAACAACCTTAAAATTGAATAATGAAGTTTAGATTTCGAAAAATGTAAATGTATCTCTTTATATATGTCAAAATATTATCTTTAATGTCTTGATAAAATAATTGAATAAATAAAAATATTTAAACAATATATAAGAACAAGTAACTTATAACTATCAAGAAGATAGGTTATTATCTTTAATGATGTAAGTGAGATTTTTGTCACTTTTCTCACACTTCCACGATTATATTTACTAATTGTATTATGATAGTTATTTTTTCTTGCTTACCCATTCATGGGTGAGTTTGAATGTGCCAACCTTTAAGTTGATATTTAGTCCAAATGACTAGATTGTAGTATTGATGTTGATTGAACTAGCAAACAACTTGATCTAGCCAAGTAATTCTCTACTCTACAAATAAGATTTTTATGGATGAGGTCTAATTTGTTTTAAATAATTATTTAATATTTCAATATTAAAAGTTAAAGAAGAGAATTTTTTAAATTAATTTTGTAAGATTAAGAAAGAGTTTAAAGAATTACGGAAGGAGTTTTTTCTCTCTCATAAATTTGTTTGGTTTCGAATGAGGAAATAATAAAAAAAATGTAATTATAAATTAAATGACTATTTTACCCCTAATACATAAATTTACCGTAATTAAAAACTTCAAAGATCAAATTCTTTGATCATGGAAATCAATTTGGTTCATATCATTTATAATAATTTATTTTTTTTAGAAGATTGAGAATCGACCATTACCAATATAATATATTTATGAAAATAATCAAGTTTTTAATATAAAAACATGATTATCAATATATTTCCATTTTAAAACACACATCCAAAAGAGTCTTTTACTATTTTGCTGTGGATATTAAGGATGAACATGCTTAACTAAAATTATATCAAAGTTATATATCATAGATTCACTTTAAAAATGTCTACTACCATTTATACATATACACTTCCAACAGAGAAAATTGAGGAACTTGCAGCAACGATGCCAATGTCGACGTTGAGCATAGGGAAGAAGAGGAGACTATAGTTGAAAATTAGTAGGATGTGGTAGGGGGAATGGTACCCACTTCTTTTGTAAATTTCTATAATCTAGTAAATTTCATGTTTTTAGTTTTCATATTACTTGTATACATTTTAATTGTTTTCCGCCTTTTATGTTCCAAATCCTATATACATTCGTTGCTTATGTAATCTAAATACCTTGGTTTGGTATTTAGCCAGAAACTTGTACTTGGTCAAGGTTGAATACAAAGATTTTATATTTGAGTTTTGGTAACAATATTTTATACTTGGGTTTAGGTACTTGATTGAGAACTCATGTTCAACCAAAGTTGAATACCAAAATTTTATTGTTGGATTTTAGTCCCCTAAAGAATCAAAAGAATTTGGCTTCCATGTTGGATCATAATCAAGTATTTTTGTACTTAATTCTGACTACTTGATCAATTGTTACAACTTGGTATTTTGTTGCTAAATGAGAGCCATTTTCCCCTCACGTTGCCTTTGTTGTTGTTCACTTTGCGTTTCCCATTGTTGTATTTTTCATTGTAACTCATTCGACACTTGAGTGTTCGATATTTCATAATTTTGATTTGGTGATCCTCTTGTTCCAATTATTGTTTATCAGTTCAGTAGAATCCGTATGAAAGAATTTTCCATGGCTCTATGATAGGCACCAAATGTGCTTGCCAAAAAATGGAGGCAAAAAGTTTTCTCTTCAAGGTCCTCAATCCTCAACTCTTTGATCATAGGTCTTTAAATATCAAATGTTGGTTTTACCTTCAAAAGAGACTTCAATGCCAAAATTAGTAAGAATTCAGAGTGTTCCATGTGTTTTATAAGATTACGTATCTCGTGAAGGTATCATATATACATATATATTTATAGTTAAAAGAATATTATAATTGATGATTTGGTCATTAATTATATTCAAGAGTTTTTATTACATTGTAATGGTTGAACCATACTCTTCATCATGATTATGGTGGGGTGCTCGGCTAGACTAAATAAATCTTAACCTTATGATTTACTTATTTGGTCTTTCATTGGCTAGTAACAGACAACATTTCGATTGCAAGATCTATTCGATACAAACTGAATTTGACAATTCACCCATTTGAACATAACTTAAATTTGTTAATTCTTTTTTTATTGTGTTTAAGCTCTACCAAACATAGTTTAAATTTTTGTTTTATTTTCTTCTGATATAATTTTACTTTGCTTTTAGTGGTTTCCTCCGCCAGAGTATAACCACAAAACTTTAGTAGAAAACAACAATACTCTAGTTTGTCAATAAGCAGATGTAAATTAAGCAAACGGGTAACGCATTTTGATTCTAGCTAAAAGGAACCTACTCTGCCTAATTAGTTACACGATTAATCAAGCAGGGTAACGAACCCCCCACCGTCAGAAAAGAATAACGTTTATTAAGGCTTAAAAACTGGTTTTTCATGAATGTCATGGTAGGTTAGCACGAGGGTAACCACATTTAGTCGGTGCTGGCAGAAAACTAATGTCTTCTGGCATCAAACTTGTAATTATATTTTAAGAGTAATATTATGCATATAATATTTTTAATAATATTAGCTGTTATCTTATATTTTATCTCTCCTTTCTTTTATCTATTTCTTAATTGTAAATAGAATTTATATAAATACAAATTCTCATATTTGAAAGGAGGACCTTAAAGAAATATTTCCTAGTCAATGGCGTTACTTGCATCATAATCAAGTATGGCGTGAATGATGCTGAAGCCTCCTTTGTTCATGCAAATATGCCTAATCACGAAAAGTTGACCAAACCACTTTACCAAGCAAGCGAGACTCAACAATCAACATACGCACGCGGCCAACGTTCAGGCTAAACTCCACCTTCACAATTGTTCCACTCCCACGCCATCCTTCAATTTAATTAATATATTCACTGAATGAAGTTGCTCAATACTAGGCACATATTAGGGATATATGCTTATCAAAAGACCAAAAAGTCCCTAATTTAACATGTATTTTACTCGAAAAGGCTAACAAATTCATCACATTCTCCCAACATCTTATTAACCAACGCATTTTTGTTTCTTAAAAAAGGTGTATCATGTGTGAATTTGTATTACTTTAGAAGAGGAGAAGTCAAAAGTGAAAGAGAAATCCCAGTAGCACGAAAATGTTCACCAACGCGTTACCCCTAAGAAACTTAAAAATTTTATTAGTAGTATCATGAATCCTCAGATCATAACACATTTCATGAGTTGAAAGAAAAGCAAACCCCAGTTTCTTCTCGTGAAGCTTCAACACAATGGCGGCGAAGTCCTCAAAGCCAAACCGGAGTCGTTTCATGCTCTCATGCTTCATATTCATCTTCTTCCTCTGCGTGTTGGCTTCAATAAACGAAGTTCGATTCAACGGCATACTGAAGTTCCGTCGCTGTGTCCTCTCAAACGAATCTCTCCCCGCACACTCTTCCACCTCCAACGAAGACGACAACCTTCGAATCCTCATCTCCGTTCTCACCCTCCCCGACCAATACCTACGACGACACTTCCTGCGCCTCGTGTACGGAACACAAACGGTAACAGAGGGCGCGAAAGTCGACGTGAAGTTCGTGTTCTGCAACCTGACAAAAGAGGACCAAAAAACCCTGGTGGCTTTAGAGATCATGCGCTACAACGACATCATCATCCTGAACTGCACCGAGAACATGAACAAGGGAAAAACCTCGACGTTCTTCAGGAGCCTGCCCGAGATTTTCAACGAAACGGAGGGTCCCTACCCGCCCTACCACTACGTCATGAAAGCAGATGATGACACGTACGTGAGGCTCAACAGTTTGGTGCGGTCGTTGAGGCCGTTGCCCAGGGAGGATTTATACTATGGGTTCGTGATACCGTGCGGAAGCATGGACCCCTTTAAGCACTACATGTCGGGGATGGGGTTTGTGGTGTCGTGGGACATTGTGGAGTGGATCCACGGTTCGGATATTCCTAGGAAACACGTGGAGGGTCCTGAGGATAAGGTGTTTGGAGATTGGATGCGATGGGCTCGACGTGGAAACAATAGGTACAATGCTAAGTGGTCTATGTACAACTATCCTGATCCACCTTCGGTCTGTAGCCACGAGCTTTGGAATGATACTATTGCGGTTCATTTGTTGAAGAATCAAGAGAAGTGGGTTCGGACTCTTACGTATTTCAACCACACTGATTCTTTGAAGCCGTCCAAGATGTACCATATACCTTAGCCTTTAGCTCATCGATCTTATTAGTTAATCTTTGCTTTACAGTACACTATTTTTTTATTTTTATTTTTTTTATATGATGAGATGATAGTGACATCAGATTTCATTTGGGGGGTTTCTTATAATAAGTTGTTGCTATCTTTTGCTGAGGAAGAGAAGAGTTTTAGAGGGAACAATTGACTTGTGAGGTGCGATTTGTGCTCGATTTCTAGTTTTTACAAGCAATTCTGAACGTGCCTCGTCTTTAATTGTTGTGGAACAACAAGGGTTATTGTGAATTTGTCATTTTAAAGATAATAAGATATTAGCGGACCTTACAAAAGAAGGAAGTCAATTCAAATGGGGAAACAGAGTCAGTGAAGGCAGGGCAGAGAAAAGTCATGCAATCACAATGAGAATTCAGTCAGACACAGTATCGTAGAAAATAGTGATTTATGGGCATTTTCTTCCCCCTTCTACCTAACATGGCAAAATATGAAAATAACATGTTAAGGATCGGTGATGTTCACTTGTTCGGTATCAGAAAATCTTCTCTCCTGTGGTTCTACTCTGCAATTTTCTGCACAACCGTTCGTTTTATTTTCTGGTTCAGTGCACTATATAATACGAAACAGGGTGAACCCTCTAATCCTATGGCCTTGTGTTTGGGGAAACTTTTGATTTGACCGCATTTGTACGAATGGTGCGGTCCAGAAACGAATGAAACCAAATTGGGAAAATTGGGTAAACCAGAATCGTAGCCCTTCTTTTGGAGAAAAAATGTACTTGACAGATCTTTGGACTAAAAGCAAAAAACTTATTTTTTATTTTATTTTTTCTTTTCAAATGGGTGATCCGGGGATCCTGTTGGCTGTTATTTTTTCTTTTGCCCCCTCTAATCGCCCACACAAAGAATAATATATATTTTTGGAATGCACGAATTTATTCTTTCTTTGTTAAAAATCATTTTTAATAATTCAGATAAGAACCATATGTAACAAATAAAAGGTAATGAAACAAAAATTAATGGTTAAAAGATATGAAACGAAATTCTAAACGTTATTTGAAATTCACCGAGTATATTTTATAAATGGTTAAAAGTAAATAATATAATTATATATAGTTATCAATGTGGTTAATATGAACTATTTAGATTTAAATATGTTTTTGTCCTTTAAGTATAATAGATGTTTGACTTTGTATAATTGTGATATTTAAGAAATTGAAATTATTTAAGGAATTGTACAATTGTGATATTTAAGGAATTCAAATTATTTAATTAAATTTGAGAGTTTAAAATTGCATAATTACAATTGTAATATTTAATATATTAAAATTACTCAATTAAAATATTATGACCAAAATTGTACAATTATGATACTTATTAAAGGAAGAAAAATTGTAATTAACCCAACTATTTATAAGATTAAATTATTGTTATTAGGCATTTTAATAATTTTATGATATTAATTACTTCTAGATTAGGTTAATTATTATCAAGCATTTCAATTATTTTATAATTGTGTTTTTTTTACAACTTATATAATCATGTTTATTTTACTAGTGTTTTCTTGTAAGACAAAAAAAACAAATTTTACATTTATAGTTTTTTTTCACCAATTTTTCATTTAAAGTTAATCACACATCACAGTCACTTAGTCTCGTAACACTATTAATCACCTATAAGTCATAATTAATTATTATTTGACATTATAACAACATCATGACACTATTAATCATTTATTAATAATTACATGCATTACATTTCTCATAACCACTTAAAAAATAAAAATAATTATTTTTTTTAAGTTGTTAATCATGTGCACCGGATGAATAAGAGGTGTACAAATCCTTGTTATTACTAATGTATTCTTATCTACTAATTATAAGTCTTTATCGTGTATGCGTGAAATGAGAAATCTCTTATTTATAATTGTTTGGAAATGACACAGTCAAGAAAGAATTAGGATCTTCCTTTGGAAATCTGCTTGTACTTTGTTGGTGAATTAGACTAGGTTTCAAAGACAAATGACTAACTTGATGTGTGTTCTTTATGCAACTCCCATGTTGAATCTATTTTACATTGCTCCTTGGCACAATAGGTTTGATTCTCTTTAGACTCTATAAATTTATCAAATAACTTCTTAGTTTTGATTTGTATGAAATTTGAAGATCTCAACAAATCACCATGTGGACAATTGGTGTTTGTCTTTGGAGTTGCTTGTAATGCCATTTGGAAGAATAAAAGCGAGTTCATTTTCTCTAATTTGGTGAATATGATAGATTCCTTAATCCAAATAATTGAACGGGTGTGTTTCACATATCCAAGTCATTTCCTAGGCCACCTTTATTTTACTTTCCAAAATTTTTGTTGCTAATAGCAATGTTTCTATTAGTTGGGTTTCTTCTCCTAAGTGTTTCCTTAAACTAAACTGATATTTTATGATTCATCATGATGATACAACTTGTGGTAGAATGCTCAAGGATTCTATTAATAATATCGTGTTTGATTTCTATGCTAAGATTAAAGTGTTCTTCATTAATATGGCTAAATTGATAGTCATTGAGATGAAAATTAAATTGTTAGCTAGTAGAGGTTTTACTAATATTTTTTGTAGAATTTGATGCCAAGTATGCAATCAACCTTCTATATAGTAGTTGTAATCATCTAATGTATCCAAAATTCCAAACTCATTAATCAAATGGCGGATGCAATTAGAGTATAATTCTGATTTCATGTTTTAAGATAAACCATTCAAGTAAACGATAACTTTGTTCATCATGTTTATCTTTGTTTGATTTATTTATTTGTGAGCCAATTTTTAGTTTTGTTTTCTTTGAGATTTTGACAAATATTATTTATATCTCCGTAATTTTTATTCTATATTTTTCTCATAATTTAACCCTTGTTTGTAAAAAAATAAATTTGAAATGTACAATAATTAATATAAGAAATATTTTTGGTCGATTATTACATAAAAAAATAAACAATATTTAAAGTTTTAAGAATTATAAAGAAGGCAACAAAATCCAAATCTAATAGCCTTGCAAACTATTCCGACTGGAACGATATTTTGAATTTAAAAAGAATGAGAACATATTAGAGCAATTGAGGTGGAAAAGAATTTAAGCAGTCCCATAGTGGTGCATATTAGGAAGAGTGGCGTCACAAACGAAAAGGCATTTTAAGTTTGAAGCCAACGCAAGTTGAATGAGATTTACTTTTTTAATTTATAACTAAGCCGGTGAGTGTAGGTAGGACTAGGTAGTAGGTCTAGTAGGTGTGAATAGGCCACGTCACCATTTGAGTGAGTTGCGACCGGGCCTTTGCATTTTGTTGCGCAGCCCACAGAGAGAGTCTGCACCCGTGCTCCGTGTGAGAGAGAGACAACGACTCAGACGCTTCCACTCCTTCTTTGGCGGCGGCGTCGTTTTCTCTCCCCCTTGACCCATTCATTCTCTGTAAGGTTTCTGCATCTTCATTTTCCAGCTTTTACTCCTCCTATCATCGCTTTTCAGATTTATTCCACCTTTTATTTTATTTTATTTTTTTTTTATTTTTCGTATTCTCTTTTAGACTCCTCATATCTTCTTATTGGATTGCGATCGTTTCTCACTGTAAGACTCCTTTTCCTCGTTTGGCTATTTCGTCGAGCATCTGGCGCTTACAATCTCACAAGATGCGATGCGCTGTACTTTCATAATGCACCGCTATCTCTTAGAGGCTCTTCTGAAGCTGATGCACTATGCTCTTAGAACTGTGGGTGGAATCCTGATTTTCTTCTGTAGCTTGACTTGCGCGTCAAAATTACGCACTTGTTTTGCTCAATTTTGCAACTCTATCCCATGTGAATCAGTTTGTGTGTCAACTTCCTCTGAACCTGTACAGTCGTTTATCATAATGTGAACATCCTAGGTTGCTTTTCAAGTTCACTATCGATTTGCCCCGATTTCTGTAAATTAACTTGGTGAGCTTCATTGATATCATCATAATTTAAAATACTTCGTGGTTGAGTGAAGGATTGTAGTGTCATGTTTTGAAAATAGGCAAATAGCACTGGTCAAGATTGGGGTAGCTTGAAGGAACTTAAATTATTTTTTCTGTTGGGTAGAATACAAATTAATATTGTAACTAGTAAACTCCAGAGGCTTCAATTTTATTGTCCTATCGTGTCACTGGGTGTTCTCAAAACCTTACTTTGTCTTATCCGGGAATAATGGACTCATTACATTTATGGTTTACTCCTGTATGGGTATTTTGTCGAGCATATGGCACGTACAAAATCTGTCTACACGTGCATGTAGTGCTGTGCAGTACTTGCATAAAAGCTCATAGTTTCACCTCTCTTCCTGCACTGTTATTGAGGATGATCTAGCTTGCTGGATGACTTTATTACTGATCTTTTGTTACATAGAAAATATTGCATTTGCACATGTACATGTCGATGCATGATATTGTTATGATCTTTGTTGTTCTCCTTTTTCTTTTCTCCTGTTTTTCTATGTGAATTTGTTTCTAATCTTGAAATTGTTAATTAAAATATAAAATAATAATTATGTTTCACAGGGTTTGGTGCATTTCATTCTGATTCAATATGGCCAATGGTCCAGCACCTTACTCTGAGATTGGAAAAAGGGCAAGAGGTAGATTTGCATTCAAAATCATAATATATTCATTTTTGTATGTCATTGCTCAAGGAACACATGAACATCCTGTTGCTAGTTTCTGGCTGTACTCATACAAATGACAAATAACACGTTGATTTGCGTATTACAATTCATTACTTATTCACCCCTCGCTTATATATACATCAGACATATAGGACATGATATGGTAAACACCCACAACTAATTTTGTGATTGCTTTCATGCCTTGTATTCTTCTTCAGTAATTTAATTTTTCAGATCTCTATGATCTGTTGCACCACTACTTTTCTTATCATTGTCCACTTTTGATTTACTTATCAATTGAGACTTCTATCCCAGCCCAAATAAATATCATGAACAAGTTCAATAGACATTCTCATTTTACCACATCATTGACTTCCTCAGTGCATCACCTTCATTGTACACCAGGTTTCTGAAATCATGGCCTGTTGTATACTTATATGAAAACTGGGTTAGCTAACAATTTGAACTTAAAATGTTCCTTATTTCATAATCCCTTCCTGATCATTAATTGTTAGGCTCACAAGTCATGTTTACAAAAGAAGGGTAAAATAATTGAATGGTTATGTGCAGTAAAATAGTGGGGAGGTTAGGCTAGAATCATGCAATGGGGCCCAAAGGAGAAAGAGAATGGATATATATAGAGGAAGGGTATCTGAAGGAGGGGGGCTGATTCTAAGAGGTTTTGGGTGGTGATTTTGAGGAGAGGTTGGCTCTTCTCATTATCTAGTGTTTGCTTTTCTAGTTTTACATGCTTAGTTTCTATTTCATACTTTATAGAATATTATCTCCCTCCATAGCCATTGTTTTCTGTTTCTCTGTTGGATTTCTCTTATATTCCACTGTATATTGAGGATTTTTCTACTGATCATAGATAAATATCAATACTGGTTCAACCATTTTTCTTATTTGATACTTTGGTTCCTAACAAGCATCTATGGCCAAGAATCTTGACTGTTGTCTTCTCTATGTATTTCCTATCAAGTCAAATTTAAATTTTGCAAAACATACCAGTGGCATTAAGGATTATATAATCTTGTTCCTTTGCAGACCTTTTATACAAGGATTACAACTTTGATCACAAGTTTACCCTATCGATTCCCAACTCCACTGGATTGGTAATGCATATCCCCCTTTATGCAATTATCTCTCCCTCTCGTTTATTATTTGTATCAGTTCAGTTTTCAGTTTCTCATTGCAGTTGATGCTTAGTAGATATAATATTCTTTTGCTTGAATATGCTATAGTCTTAATCACACATGCAGTTACTCTCGCACATACTGAACATCATATAATACGACAATAGTGATTGTTGATGTATTTTTTATTTTCTCTTTTTGACCAGCATGAAATAGTAACACAATTCTTTAAAAACTGAGGATAAGTGCATTGCATCCCATTATTGCATATATGAGGATTAAAGTTTAATCACATTCATTTTTCATCATTCTTTGTTATTTGACTATTGAGTAAAAAAACTGAGAGGAAGAATAAATAGATTTAATATAATGCTCAATTGATTGATGTCATTATGTTAATAAAATTGCATTCCATAAAATATTCATATTTGGGTCTATTTTTATTTATTTTTATAGCCAAATATCATGGGTTGTGAGATAAAGTTAACTTCTGGATTCCTATAGAAAAATTAATTTTCATGAGGAATCATGTTTTATCTATTTAAGGTAATTAACAAATATGCCAAACTCCGGAAGACATCATGGAAATCTTTTATCAGTTCAGTGTCATCTAAACTTTCCCTCTCCCCCATGTAGAATTGAACTCCAAATACAGGTGCTGCTTGAAAGGATGAATATTGTTTTCTCCTTTCTTGAGCAAGTTGGGTTTATAAAGTTGGCAACATATATCTTTCAATTCATGGGTTGTTTACATGTTCTTATAGGCGCTAATGAGAATGAATAATCATGGCAATTGGAAACTTGCATTAATGTTTGTATTTTATCAAATAGTCTAAAGTGATTGCAGATTTGCAACCTTTAGTCACCCTTCTTCAATTGTGCCTAATTTCATATTCTATTTTCCATTTGGCAGGGGCTTGTAGCAACAGGATTGAAGAAGGATCAACTTTTTGTGGGTGACATAAGTACACTTTACAAGAGTGGAAATACTACAGTTGATGTGAAAGTTGATACATACTCTAATGTAAGAAATAGAGGTCTACTTCTACTCATATATCCTTCCTTTGATATGTAAATAGTGTTGCTACTACTGCTACTCTTAATCTGTCAATGACTGTAGCAAAAGTTTAAACTTTCTAAAATTGGTTTAGTTATCTAAGATGGTGTAAATTGAAACCAGTAGTTAGTAATGTTTACATTATGGAGTTTTAGGTATAGTGGTAGGAAGAGAAATAAAAGAGAATGATACAGACTTTGAATAATATTCTATTAATTACTACAATGGATAATAGTGTTTATACTAATTATAATCCCAACGAAATAGGAAACAAAGAGATAAGAAATTATGGTAATCATACTTGAGAGATAATGAGGAAATGAATAGATAAACTAATTCCAGAGGAGAAAGATATCCAAAGATAGTTTAGAATGCTTTCATTTTTTCTAACAAGTGTGGTGACAGTATTTTTACCATCTTTTACTACAAATGATGTTTTGTCTAATTTACCTCTGCAGGTATCTACAAAAGTAACTGTGAATGATATCTTGCATAGTACAAAAGCAACTTTGAGCTTCAACATACCTGATCATAAGTCTGGAAAGGTGGGTATAATCTAGCTTTCCCTGTGAGAAAATGTTAATGCATGGTTTATCAGACTGAATTAAGTAAATCATTGCTTTTGTTTGCTCCTGATAATACTTAAAGTGTTTTGTTTGATTCCCTATCTATGAGGATTTCATAAATATAATGACTCTGTTAAAGCCTAACTCATAATTGATAATAAAAGTTTTCATCCTAGTAACTTGAAGCAACAAATGGGATTGAATTCCTTATTGACGGAAGTTATGCTGAAAATCATCTGGTTGGCATATTATCGATGATAGTTGATTCACTTGGTTGAGATTGGTTGCAATTAGGAATTACGAGTTGATAAACTAATGCACCAAATCATTCACCTGATTGAGTTGGGGAGGTGTGGTACAGAGATTGTCTCCTCTTATGGTAACATATACCTGTATGATTTAGAGCAGTAACAAGGATACACTGATTTTATTTGGGCAGTAGCTTAGTAAAACCTTGAACCAGCCTCTCCAGTCATGGGTCTGTGGCTGCTTATGCTTGACAGTTTGACCCTTCCAAACCCTGCAGTGATGAGAGCCTCCTGCACTGGGCCATCCCTTTTTATTATAGCAATATGTAAGCAATGAATTTACTTTGGCATTCTTGCAATGTATCTGACTCTGCATTATTACCTCAGCTGGATGTGCAGTACCTTCATCCTCATGCAGCCATTGATTCTAGTATTGGTTTGAATCCATCCCCTCTATTGGAGCTTTCAGCTGCAATTGGAAGCAAAGATCTTTGTCTGGGTGGTGAAGTTGGATTTAATACAACTTCTGCTTCATTCACAAAATATAATGCTGGAGTTGCCTTCAATAAATCAGATTTCTCTGCGTCCCTTATGCTGTAAGTATTGTTGCTACCATATTTTCCTGGTTCAGTCTTATGTCCTATATAACCCTTCTCTGTTTCAGGGTTTTTTTTTTTTTTTTTTTTTTTTTTTTTTTTTTTTTTTTTTTTTTTTTTTTTTTTAATTAGCACCTGAGAATTACCTATCAGAAAGGCTAGATAAAATTGGAATCGCCAAAGGATGGCAAAATCTTGTAGTTAGGCATAGACTCGCTTACATAATATTTTTTGAAAGCATGTTTGTTATTTATTTATTTATTTTTGAAGAAAGGAAATATTTAGTTATACTGAATTCTGAAACCTTGAAGTTGTTGTGGACATCTAAAGCTGTGTGTATAGGATATGGACTAAACTAATTGTGGTGGTCTGGGCTCAATGGTATACATGGTTTTATTTCTAAAATTTTGAATTTTATTTAAATTGATTAATACCAGCATTATTGAAGAAAATAAAACTCGTGCAAATTATGTGCATTTAAACTCACAAATATATCTCCTAATTCCTAGCTTCGTACTTAGAGCATCTCCAATGTTAGATTTTTATCCGGTTCTTAAGTTTAAGCTCTCATTGCTTATAAGAAACCTGCATTAGAGCATGCTGACATGACAGGTCAAATTGTTAAAATTCAAGTACCGTTGCTTATAGAAGAGACGATTGCTTAAGAATAAAAAAATAACTTAATATTTCCTTCTTTCACTGATGTTAATAATTATAATAATTAAATTTTTTAAAATTTATTAAAAATGAAGTATGAGTGATTAAAAAGTGGAGATGCTTATAAGCAACTTTCATTGGAGTAAAAATTATAAAAATGTAATATAAGTTGCTTATGAGTGACATGACAGTGTGGGATCCATTTAAAGTGGATGAGAGTTGCTTATAAATAACTCCCATTGCAAATGCTCTTATGCAATTCTATTATGAGGTGGACAACTTTATGGTGTACTTGAAATTTTCTATGAACCTTAGGATATTTCACTCGGTTACTGTGAAGTCTATATGATTTATGGGGAGAGGATACTAGCTAATTCCTTTGAAAATGAAATGGTTTTAGTATTTTTTTTGGAAGTATGGGTATTTGTGTAATTATTACTTATTTTTATTTTTCCTTATCTTTTTTTTTTTTTTTTTTTCATTTCAATTTGAGAGTTAAAGTTATCTCTGGGAACTTCATGATATTTATTGTAAAGTGTAGACTGTATACAGTTTATAAATTATTCTATTCGGTGACTTTTAAATCGAGTCTTTTCCGGAAAGTCCTAATAAGAAGGTAGACATACACAGAAAATTCGTTCATTTGCTCTGATAGGGTATATCTTTTACAAATGCAGGGCTGATAAAGGACAAACCCTGAAGGCGTCTTACATTCATTATGTTGATCGCCCAGATGGATTTACAGTAGCTGCTGAAATCTCCCACAGGTTTTCTTCCTATGAGAACAGATTTACAATTGGGAGCTCACAATTAATAGATCCAAAGACTGTTTTAAAGACTCGGTTCAGTGATGATGGCAAAGCTGCCTTCCAATGCCAACGAGCATGGAGGCCCAATTCACTTGTTACCCTGTCTGCTGAATATGACTCCACGAAGATCTTTAGTTCATCCACCAAGTTCGGTCTTGCTCTTTCTCTCAAGCCTTAACATGGCCTGCCTATTGACTCTTATTTGGTGGCTTCAACTTTTATCATTATATCATTTTACATTGTTTCGAAAACCCATGGTGGGTTGTTTTAAGCCCTATCATATCATAAGGTAAAACAAAGGAACTAGAAATATTTGTGAAATCTTCTAAAGCGGCACCGGGAAGGACCCAGTTTTGAAATACTTGCATAAATGGCTAGAGGGTTTTGTAGCTGATTTATGATACTACAGTTCAGGATCTAGCATATGATTTTGGGGTTAAATTCTATTTTGATATATTGACTCGTGGTCAGGTGGGTTGTGGATGCCTGATCTCTCATTTCATAATTTTTTTTCGCCGTAGTATACTGTTAACTTCTCATATGGCACAAATTTTATCGTTCTATTTCACCAGCTCCTCATTCAATAATGGACCAGTATTCGGAGAACTTCCTTTGGTTTATCCCGAGCAATTGAATGATTACAAATTAGATTTTTAATGTCTGTTCTTCGTTTATTCTGAGTGAGGAAGTGAGATTTTGTTGAGGGGGTAAATTTTGGTTTATTTAGTAATAAATTTTTTAACCTTGCTTGTTGAAGAAATGCACAATGTTTATAGATAAAATGGATTTGACGGTGCATCTAATGAAATCCACTAAGAGAATGACCGGGTAACAACATATTTCAAGTATTTAGTATTTTTTGATATAAAAATAGACACAAGACTTGTTAAGGGTATATTTGGTTTAAGAAAATGTTTTCTGTTTCTATTTTCAGTTTTTATTTTCAAATTTTTAGAATTTAGAAAATGTTAATTTAACTTTTCATTTTTTGTTTCCTTAGAATGAAAACATTGAAAATATAAAGTATTGTTATCTTTTATAAAAAATACAGGTATTTTTTCATAAATTACTTTTATCTTAAGAATTCTTTAATTTATCGTTTTAATTAATTATTCAAGTATTATTTTAATATAAAATCTCTTTGATACTAAGGTTTTTTTTTCTTTCAATCAAGTCTCTTTAGATTTTAATGATAAATATTCTTTAATAATCAAGTTTCTTTAGACTTCTACAATTAAGTATTCTTTTTTATACAAAGATTTAAAGTAATAATACAAAATTAAAGTTGAAAAATTACTTTACTGTTTTGTTTTATTATTAATATATAATACAATTAATTAAGTACAAAGTTTTTACAAAGATAATAAATATGATTTATATATGACTTTTACAATTGTTCTATGCATGTATGAGTGTGTGTATATTAATGCGTGTCTCTTTATCTTGAATCTTCAAGTTTTTTTATGTAGGTGTTTTATAAAGATGATTATTGTCCATCTATGAGTGTCTTTTATAGATTTGTTTTGTCTATTTTCTTCTTTGTTTCTTATTTGATAAATGAACATTTTGTTTGAGAGGCTAAATACCAAAATAATCAATCATTAAAAAAATGTTTGAATTTGTTGTCATTAAAACTTATTCAAAATTGTCTTTTAATCTAATAAGAGTAGATAAAAAGAAATAGATATAGTCAATTTTATTTGATGTTATTTCTATTGATGAGAATAAGACATGTTAAATAGATATTATGGACATATATATATATATATATATATAATAAAAGTTTTTTATAAAAAATATTAATAATTTAAAAATATAGTACCTTTTTAATTAATATTTGCTTAAATAAGTAATAATTTTTTTAATGATGTATTGATTGTTTGTAAATCAACATTTCTAAGATTTTTTTATCTATTTTAAAAAAAATCTAAAGAACATATATATATATATATATTGTTTCAAAATTAGTAAGAGTCTGAACATATTGGTTGAACATAATGTATTTTAAATCTCTTAATATTAAATTCTATTTTTTAATAATGCTCGAAAGTCTTATTGATTTTGAACTAATTTGTAAAACATGAATTTATACTTTATCATCTCTAAAATTTATTTATCAAAAAAAGTAATTTGTTCGATCATTCAGATACTCCTCATGTGTGTTGGTAAAGAAGCATAACCAATAACATACAATTTTAAAAAGACTGAAACTCAAAATGAAAGAAATGAAAAGGACAAAACAACTGTTATTTCTTGCGACAATAAGAAAATATAGACCAAAAACATTTAATAAAGGATTTAATTTTTCATATAATAAATATTTGAAATAAAATATGTTAAAAAATGACATTGAAACTAATTTTGAATTGGTGGTGTTAATGGTTACATTAGATTGTTGTAAAAGTGAAAAAAGGTAAGAAAAGAAAAGTATGGAATAGAATATATGATAGCATAAAGAAATGGTATGAAAATGAAATGAAGACGCAAGGTAAATTAAGAAGAGGAAAGAAAGAAGAATAGGTTGTGTTGCGTTTTGATCTTGGTTGGGTGTGTGAGGTGTGAAAATGTCGCACGGCGATACCATACCCCTTCACCCATCTTCTCAGTCCGACATCGACGAGATCGAGAACCTCATCAATGCCTCCGTCCACCAGTCAGTCCCTCCGGCGAGGCCCCCCAGTCCCCCACGCGCCTCCATCCCTGTCTCCGTCTCCTCCGCCCCCTCCGCCTCCCCCTCCCCCTCTCCCTTCCTCTCCTCCTCCCTCCCTCCGCTCCCCAAATCCTCCTCCTCCGCCGTCCCTCCGCCCCCTCCCCCGCCCTCCGGCTTCGGCCCCGCCCCCAACACCCTCACTGAGCCCGTGTGGGACACCGTCAAGCGCGATCTCTCTCGAATCGTTAGCAATCTCAAGCTCGTTGTCTTCCCTAACCCTTACCGCGAGGACCCCGGTAAGGCCCTCAGGGATTGGGATCTGTGGGGCCCTTTCTTCTTCATCGTCTTTCTCGGCCTCACCCTCTCTTGGTCCGCTTCTGTTAAAAAGGTATTTCTTTCTTTTATGCTTTTTAGCTTTTTCTGCTCTCTTCTTCGCTGATCTGTTGTCACCACTTGTTGATCTGCTAGTAATCGTAGGGATAGCGATTGGATCCACTTTAGGAAGGAGAAGGACATTGTGCCTGATCTTGATCTTTACTGCTTGTTTCTTTTTGTTACATTATTTCTGCACTATTTATGCTTTTCTTGATTCACTTGATGGTTGTGATCCCACCTTGTGGGTTTCGCTGTTCAATCTTAACTCTTGAGGAAAATTCACTTCAAAGTTATGGGGATCTGTGTATTTTATATCCCGTACGTAGGAGAGGGAGAGGTTACTTGTTGAACAACGGATTGCTGAGGTATAAATGTTGCAATGACATATGATGCACTACTTTGGTGTTGCATTAAGCCAATGGTCATGGAGTTGTCAAACTGGCATTCATATAGTGGTGTAGTGCCGGAGTGGCACGACGCAGCGGCCCCTACTCGCTACAGGGAGCTGTTGCAGTCGATCATAGAAGACCAAGTAGTGGGTTGGGTAGTGGCTTTAGCAGCGCTGTGTGTTAATTCCAAAAAAATGCCCTTGAACGGAGACATTTTGGCTTTTTTGAGGGTCTCATTTTGGGATTTCAATTTGCAAAAAGTGAAAAGTGAAACCTACAGCTGCAATAGTAGTGAAAATGATTTAAAAAAAAAAAAAAAAGACTTGGATTTAGAAGATGATTATTCCTATCTTGGAAACCTGGATTTGACTTTTGTCGGTATTTACTTGTAATTTTTGTTTAAGACACCTGAGTTTTTATTGTTATTTATGAATGTCAATAATTTTGAATGAGTTTTACCATATTTGTTTTTGATACTTTATATGTATATAGTATACATATAAATTATATAAAAAATTTCAAAATAGTGGCAATCCCACTATCCGCTGTTTCACTATAGCACGATTAGGACCAGCCACTACACACCACTATCTGGGATTTAAACCACTGGTATTTTGTGCCCATCAGTGTGGTGCTTGGTACAACCTATGAAGCATCGCCGCAAACACAGATGTCAGGACATGACTAGTACAAAAAATATAGGACATCGGGACAGGACGTGTGTGTATATATATATATTTATGTAGAGAATTAAGATTTATATATATTAACCTTATAGAAAGAATACTAATATGGATCAATTCATAGTGCAATCTTTATGAAAAAAAAAATCAACATAAGAAGATGAATCTATCTCTTTAAAGTTAAAACTAATAATTCTATGAAAATGAGGCTTGCAAAAAAAAAAAAAAAAGATGTTCTGATCCTTGCAATATTTACAAAATTAGTTGACTCTTTAATTTTATTTTATAATATGAGTGTTAAATAAGTGTTTAGCTAAGAGTAAGTGTCGGTTCACTTTCTTGGCTTGTGCCCAAGTTGTATTGAAAATGTGTCTAAACTGTGTTGGAGAGGTGTTTGAGTCAAAAGATAAATAAATAATGAATAAATGTGAAATGGTGCATAAGTGTCAAAAGTGTGTCGAACAAGTTGATACAACATTTTATTGATGTGTCAGTGTTTCATAGGATACAACTTATGTGGTGTGGAACATCATTTTCTATCGAGTTTTTCCTAAATCATTCCATTTTATGTATTGTTAATGATTCTCAATTTTATCCTTTCAAATATTGAACTGAATTGAATATCTAGCTTGGGCTGTTGACTTCAATTTGTGCTATGGCATTTGGTTCTTAACATATTGTCAACACTATATATATGTTGATCATCTATCTGTTTGTGTCTTCCTTTAAATTGCTTTAGGTTTGTATACTTATTTGAACTTTACATTTTTCAGTTTCTTGCAAAGAAAGAATTGTGATTAATTAATGTTATTATCTAAGTGTACCCTATTTCTTTTCCTATTTTTTGCATAAAGAATTTTCTGCAACTTCTCAGAGTGAGGGTTGTCATTTGAAATTCCTTGAAGAGCTGAGATACTTGTATCTTTGGGTTGATGAGATTTCCAGTGACCAAATGGCATGGAAACTAGCAGTTTTCATGGTTTGGGATTGCTTTTTCTTAAATTGTCGTTCTATTCTTTAAAGTTAAACAGTAGTTGTGATAGATGCTACTAAGAGATGGTGGTGGTATATGAGTCTGAACTACCAATAGACATGCTATTACTGAAGACATCCAACTCCTAGAGTAGTGTGAGTTCATTATGACAGAACACTGCTAGTTGTTGGTGGTTTGAATTACATAGTTGCACCTATCAACTGAATCTTTGTCTTCTCCATGATACAAATAAATTGTATATGTATTTCTTTTCCTTTTATCGTTTCTTGGGCTATGTGAAGTTAAATATCTGTTGTTAAATTATGAATTCATTGAGGGGGATGCTGTGATTAGTCCATGGAGCCAATAGTTGTAAAAAAAAATTACAGTTGGATTCAGTTAACCTTTAACCAGGGGTTCAAATTTCTTAGTCCACTCCTTGGTCCTCTGCTTTGTCCTACTTTGGAAGTTCTCTAGTCTATCCTGTCTTTTTTCCTGCATTGTAGTTTGCATGATGAGAGTCTGCCTTGGTGCAATGATAAGGTTGCCTTGTGAACTAGAGGTTATTATCGGTTTGATTCCTAGAAACAACCTCGGAGATAAGGTTGTGTGTATCTACCCTCCCGAAATGCCACTAGGTGGGGGCCTCATGCACTGTGTTTTGTAGTTTGAATGTCTTGCATATAATTACTAAGTTTGGTCAATATTAGTCGTATTTTTTCTAACGTCTTTCTGTCTGATTGTGTCTCAGTCTGAGGTTTTTGCTGTTGCATTTGCTTTACTAGCTGCTGGCGCTGTAATTTTGACACTGAATGTACTTCTTCTGGTAATAGCCTCTTTCTCTCTCTTAATTTAGTTATATTTTGAGTGTCAACATTTTCTGTTTGATGTAATGTTGAAGGATGGGGGACCTGACCATTCTTGAAAGTGTACTTTGATGGAGGAGGGCAAATATTTGACTGTCTTCATCTGTTCAAAATTTCAGGGTGGACACATTATTTTCTTTCAGAGTCTGAGTCTGTTGGGCTATTGCCTGTTCCCTCTGGATGTTGGTGCATTAATTTGTATGTTGAAGGACAATGTCATAGTGAAAGTGGTTGTGGTATGTGTGACATTGGCTTGGAGTTCTTGGTCTGCATACCCTTTCATGAGTTCTGCAGTCAATCCCAGGAGAAAAGCTCTTGCACTCTACCCAGTTTTTCTCATGTATGTATCTGTTGGTTTTCTCATCATTGCCATTGACTAAATACACTATGCTTCCGATTTCTTTATTCCGATAACCACTTGGAATCTGCTTCTAAATAGGAATTTTTGTTTGATGATCAACCTTTTTTCTTTTAATTCTTTTCTGCCCGTCCTTTTTTCTGTTTAAAATTTGGTTAGATATATTTGGATACAGACACATGTATAATATTACGTGGAAAGCATATGGTGGAAACAAACTTGATACATAAGTATTGTTTTCTATTACATGTTATTTAATGTCAATGTGTGATAACTGATAGGATTGAAGAAACCCCAAGAAAGAACGAAATTGAACAAATGGATTATTTTATTTTGGGGAAATTACACTCACCCTTACGCCAGGTCTAATGAAATTATACCTGTAACCAGGGAAAAAGATTCTTTGCAGTTTAGAAAAACTGAATTCGATCTCAGCCCGTGCTTAATTTTAATATTTAATGAATTTATTTATGAAGTATAGAAAAAAAAAATGTATGAATGGTGAGATTATTAAACTGGAGACTCCGTTTTTTTTAACTTGAGACTCCAGTTTTTTTTTAACTGGAGAGGATTTTTGTCTCTGTAAACTGATATTCCTCCTTTTTAATATTACTTTGATCTCCCTTGATTTATTATAACCACATAAGAAATCGAGAGGTTTCTGTTATGTGTTGTGTAAATTAAGGGTGATTTGTCCTTTCATTGTTTTATCTGGACATTCTGGCTACTTTCTTGCAAAATATGTCGTACTCTTATAAATATATCACCTCACATTTTAATAATTTTCGTTTTATTATACCTGGGTTCATCAAGTTCTTTGATTCTGCCACTTAGAAATGTAGTGAGGTGTAATCCACTAATGGATGCGTAGGAGGGATTTTTCAACTTTGTGGATACTGTTTACATCCGTGGGTTCGAATTTAATATTTTTTTTGCATGGGCTAATTCTCTTGTAACGTTTCAAACTCGCTGTGCTGGAGAGTAAAGTATATCATTTTTAATTAAATGTTGCGTAATAATAGTCAACACTATTCTTTTGATCACTCAGTGGAATATGCCGAGTGAGTGTGCTCAACTAGTGTTAATCTGACCATTGAGTTCTGCTGAAGCAAGAGTATGAGTTGTCTAAACCGGTGTGCGATTCTCTCTTACTAATTGTACTTAGAACGCAGGAATTTTTGTTAAGATAAGGATTACATATACATTTTATATTACATTAATGCTGAATAATTTTTTTTACTTGTGCACTGTATAAATAAACTCATTTTGAAACAAGTTTTGACTTCAACTGACGGAGTCATTGATAGGATGTACAACATCAATAGTTTTATTTTACTTCAGTTATATGAATCACATAGCAACATCGTATCCAGTTAAAGACCAAATTTTAAAGGTTCTTATTTATTATGAGATTCTTCTTTTTTTAGTTCCTTTTTAATGTTCTTCGTCTCTTTCCGTCCCTTCACGATACTTAAAAACGTGTGTAAATGTGAAAAGGCATGAAAATAGATGATAATTATTTTTTATAGGAAAAAAGTTAGATATAATAATTCAATATTTTTAATTAGGACTAGAATCTTACTCTGATAACATCGAAAATGTAATGCTTTATGTCTTTATTGTCAAGTCTAAATTAATGAACGAACACACTTTTACTTGCATATTTTAAACTAATTTAAGAGGTTTTTTTCTTATTATTATTAGTTTACCTAGAATGAATGACGGCATCCTCCATCAATACTACATTGATCTTATCCACACTGCTTCAGGGTGCAGCTCTTTTGTGACAACTGTGCGTGTCAATTATTGATTAACCAAAAGGAATCCACGTGAGACACTCGGACATATATCTATTTAAGTAACTGTGCCAAGTATGAGTGCATTGAAATAGTTGTGTAATACTCTATTAACAATGACTTGGCAACTCGCACTCCCAAAGTAAATTGGTGAGTCCCTTGATTTGGCCAATCATGATGCATTTGTTGCTTCTCCAACGCACTGTGAGCCAACAATTTGTTACATGGTTCGTGTTGCTTCTTTCTAATTCTTGATTTAGTAGTGGTTGCTTTAAAATGCAAACCCCTTGCAATTCAATTCGTTAGTCACGTCCAATCCGACAATAATCATATACATGTTGGAATCTCGTAACCGAAAAAGCTTCAATAATTGGGATTAGTAGGTTAAGATGGAGACATCAGAGCATTCATTGTTTCCCTATATGTAGATTGGTGACGCCGTTTGTGTACATATCCCTTCAACATTTACTAATATTTACTTATTTCACTTTTGATTGCAACTTAGAAAAGTGGCCAAGGACACCAAATCATTGTATAGCTACAGCCACCAAATTTCTTTCAAACAAGTTTTCATCTTTGTCCTGTATGATTATGAATAAATTTATCAAATGATAGTGAGTTAATGCTTAGGCACTTTAGTCCATAATGGACGTAAAAAAAAAAATAAAAAAAAATAGGTAGGGATTACGCGCGTGCTTTTCTTTCCTCACCAACTAGCCTCGTATTACATAGGAGGGATCAAATCAAATAAATAGGATAGCTTATAGATGGGTGTTCCAATTTCTAGTCTGATCTACATATATGCATTGTGGTGGACAGAAATTGAACACGGCGTGAATCCAATTTCTACGATAAGCCTCGTCCAATGTATCGTTCCTATGTAGGGTCAATTAATATATATTCAGTTGGCATGTTGTATAGATTCTTCTTACGGTATCATCATTTCACTTGCTTAACCTACCTAAGTAGCCATACGCATTTTGATAAGACCAAATTTCAACGGATACTAACCCAAGAAAAACTAGTGAGCTCGCTTTGAATCATAAAAAAGCTGAGAGTGACGTATATTTATCAAAATTCAAAAGCCTACATCTTTCTTGCCAACTAAATTACTCCTTTATTTAACTAGTATGAATAATATAACAAGGGAAGGGATTGCGTACCCCAACCTCGATCAAACTTTTCATCAAATAACTCTAATTGAAAAAACTTCGTTATGAATACTTGTTTTCTTTAAAAGTTTAATATGCTACGCAAATTTAAAAGGAAGAAACCAAATTAACAGAGATGATAGATAGTTTGAAAATATGTTTTTGGCAACAGTCCGTAAAGTCGACATTCGAATATTCAAGTTTTTATATCTTTCGTTCTTTTTCCTTCGTCATTAATAGTAAAAGATAAAAATAAAACTGAATACGAAGTGTTTTACTAATCCGAAGAAAAATATGTAAACCTAGATCTACATGCAAGAGTGAGAATGAATTGGTTGAAATTTTATGACTTTCATTTTGGGTTAGTTTCTATGTTAATTTTTTGGTCAAACATAAGCAAGTGATTCATCGCCATTGAAAACGAGTTTGCTTTCGCACGATATTAGTGGAAAGAAATAGAGCATCTCTAAAGTAAGATAGAATGGAAGGTGGCTACAATTTCTTGGTTACCATCCTTGGATCAAAATTAAATAAAAGGAAGAACCTGATGAAAGTAATTTATTCTTATAATCTGATCCTGTCTTATTATTCGTCAATAATGAAAGGCAATGAAAAATAAACTGAAATTTTCTAAGTTTTGAATGAAAAGCTATTTTATTGTATTTTGTGAGAATTTGAAAAGCTTTCATCTCTCGCTTTACTTCGTCTGGTCTATATATAGAGCTTAAACAAGTAGAAAATATAAATGAGCTTACACACGAAGTTGGGCCTGTTGAGCCTCGTGTGATGTACATCAATGCAAAATTAACATTTTCTAATGGGTTTTTATGTCGATTCAAAAATAACTAACTTAATAAAAAAAAATTAGATTATTTTTATAAATAATAATTGACACAAAACAATATTTTTTTATGTCAGTTAAAACAATAATTGATATAAAAAAAGCTTTTTTGAAACTTCATCTCATGGCCTTGGATGGTCTCTAGGAGTAGGAAGGTTCATTGGGTGTGGCGATGTGCGTTTTCCTTTCCCCACCTCCTCTTTTGTTTTAACTTTTAATCTACGAGTTTATCTATATTTGCTCCATGTACATTTCTTTTTTCCCTTGATTTTTCTTTGTATTTTATGTTCATATTAGTTTTTTTTCCTCTCTCGGGTATGTTTCTAACTGCGTTCAACAAACAAGATATGGTGTGAACCTATAAGTTAGAGGTGTAGAGGAGCATTGTGTGGTCTCTATTTGTGGCCTTGAGAGAAATTCTGGTTTTAGTTTGCCAAAATGTGTTTTGGATTGACACTGACGAAGTGTGATGGCACCAAAGAGTGGTGATCGTTGCGTTGTGAATGTGTTTTCCTAGTGACATTCCCAAAAATTATTCTTTTGAACCAATTCTATTTGAAATATGAATATTCTTTTTTTTTTATGTAATAGAGAAATTTGAACTTTATCTCTTATAATATTAAAAATTAGACTCTTTTTGTTAAATTAAACTTTAGTTAGTAACTTTCATTAATTTATACAATTTAAATAATTTTATTATACGTTTAAAATATATGAAATAATACAAATGAAAATGACTTATAAATAATTAAGGATGTATTCGATAAAGAGAAAATAAATAAATGAAAAATAGAGTAAGAGAAAAATAGAAGAAAAAAAAATAAGTGAGTGAAAATATAATAGAAATTTGATTATTTGGTTTTAACATAAATAAGGAAGAAATAGAAAATAAAAAATAATTAATACTTTTAATAATTACAACATATCTTTAATAATGTCTTTTTTTTTTTTTTGCTTAAAATAGTAGATAGGAAAAAGTACTATTGGATAGAAAATTAGTATCATAAATCAAATATCATTATCTACTTAATAATTAATTAAAATTTAATAATATTTAATTTATTTAAAATTTTATTTACATAATCGATAATCTATAAAAACCTATTAGAAAGATTTCATCTTAAACGTCAAGAGATTTATTTTTTAGTAAGTATATCTAAAAAAACAGATTTTTAATAATAGTATGAGTGTCAAACCTAAGTCATATGAAATATAAATTGGAATCGGATCTCGAAGAATCTTTGTCAACTCATGATAATCAATAAGACATGTTTAAATTTATTGTTTAGTTTTAATCAATTTTGTAATTTTTTAAAAATTTAATTGCGGCAGTTTAAAACCACTAATAGATGCAATAAAGAACTCACCATTTTTAGAAGAAAAGAAATTATGACAGTTTAAAACCCTCACAAATGGTGAACCTAACATTTCCACTCGCTTCTTGCTGGCCAATGCTCTGA